ATGCTGTCAGCACAGAGCCTGATGTGGGGCTCAAACCCAGAACTGGAAATCAGACACCTTGGTTTGACTACATCATACCCTAAACCAAGACCTCTATGTTGAGTCTTACTTTGTCTTTCCTTCCAATCAAATTACCACTATTACCTATTAGGAATCTAGTCAATTCCATTCAGGTACTCCATTCAGAAAAAAGGCAGATTCAGAGTTTAGGACAAAGCTGTTTTGATTAAGCCACTTCAAGTCTCTCTCTCTTGGCTTTCCCTTCTCTTTTTCCCAAAGCCCCTTCTCTGGCATTTTCATCTTTTTTTTTTTTTTTTTAAGTTTATTTATTTGAGAGAGACAGAGACAGTGCTAGTCAGGGAGGGGCAGGAAGAGAGAGAGAAAATCCCAAGCAAGCTCCAAGCTGCCAAGTGGGGGATCATGACCTGAGCTGAGATCAAGAGTTGGACACTTAACCAATTGAGCCACCCAGGCATCCCTATTTACACTTATAATGTAAATTTACATTGGCTTGAAATGTCAAAGTTTTTTGTTTTGCTGTTTTGGGCTTTTAAAGAAGACAGAGACATGGGGTGTCTGGGTGGCTCAGTCAGTTAAGTGTCCAACTCTTGGTTTTGTCTCAGGTCATGATCACACAGTTCTGTGGGTTTGAGCCCTGCATCAGACTCTGCACTGGCAGCTTGGAGCTTGCTTGGGATTTTCACTCTCTCTTTCTGCCCCTCCCTGACTAGCACTGTCTCTGTCTCTCTCAAATAAATAAACTTAAAAAAAAAAAAAGATGAAAATGCCAGAGAAGGGGCTTTGGGAAAAAGAGAAGGGAAAGCCAAGAGAGAGAGACTTGAAGTGGCTTAATCAAAACAGCTTTGTCTTAAACTCTGAATCTGCCTTTTTTCTGAATGGAGTACCTGAATGGAATTGACTAGATTCCTAATAGGTAATAGTGGTAATTTGATTGGAAGGAAAGACAAAGTAAGACTCAACATAGAGGTCTTGGTTTAGGGTATGATGTAGTCAAACCAAGGTGTCTGATTTCCAGCAATGTCCTTGTAGTTGCTTTAGGACTTTCCCTGAACAAATGGGTAGCTTTCAGATTAACAGGTGGGCAAAGCTCAGTAAATTCAATATGCTCTATCTGAGTAACCAAGTTATCAGGAGTTCATTGTTGTTGTTTTTAAATCTCCTGGAGTAACACATCCAAAACTTGACTTTCCTGGAGCAAATGGGACTGGTGTCCAGGGGCCAGTGCCAGGCGTCTCCTAGGCTGTCCCACTCACTGAAGATTAGAGGACATGTACAAGAACCACCAGGCATTTCTCTTTTGCAAAAGAACTCTTATCAAGAATAAATAATGGGATAATGCTCTGAAATATGTACAAAAAAGTATCATTCTTAAAATATGACAGAATGCATCTACTGTCCTAAATTGAAAGCATATCACTGCTATTTGCTATTTAGCCCATCCCCCCCCCCACCCCTCCAGCAACCCTCATTTCTCTGTATTTAAGAGTCTGTGCTAATTGCTCTTTGAAACAATTACCAAATGGTTCAGGAGGCTGTAGGTTTATTTTTATTTTATGTAGGAATAGTTGACTGTTCCACATGTAAGAAGTAAAGTTCCAGGAGAATAAAGAACATGGACAATTACTGGGGTTGGTGTGGGGTGAAGAGACAGAATAGCTTTTAAATCTTTCTCTCTAAAAAGTTAAATATCAACCCCTACCCCAACAGATCATGAATTTTATTTAGAATGATGATCCAAAATGTTAAGGTGAGGTGTTCTAACATTATTAGCTAACTTTTTAACACCCTCTTGAATGTTTCTATAAAGTGTGAAATTTGAAAGATGAAAATCAGTGTATATTATCAGATAATTATCATTCTTATGTACCAAGAACAAGCAGTAGAGGTTAGCTCTGAAGTTCAAAAACAAGGTGTGCCTTAGGTTTAAATGAGATGATCTACACAAAACACTTAGAAGAGTGCCTGGCACACAATAAATGGTCAGTAAATGTTAACCACCACCACCACCATCATCATCATCATCATCATCATCATCATCATCATCATCATCATCATCGCCAGAATCAGGAAATTATCTTTTTATAGGTCTGGGACAATAGCCTGTCCCCAAATTTCTTCATTACTATCACTTTTTTTTTTTTAAATTAAATCCAAGTTAGTTAACATATAGTGTAATAATGATTTCAGAAGTAAAATTTAGTGATTCATCACTTACTTATAACACCCAATGCTCATCCCAACATGTGCCCTACTCAATGCCCATCACCTATTTAGCCCATCCTCCCCCACACCCCTCCAGCAACCCTCAGTTCTCTGTATTTAAGAGTCTGTTATGGTTTGTCTCCCTCTCTTTTTTAAATCTTATTTTCCCTTCCCTTCCTGTTGTGCTTCCGAAATTCCATGTATTAGTGAAATCATGATATTCATTTTTCCCTGACTTATTTCACTTAGCATAATACACTCTAGCTCCATCCACATCGTTGCAAATGGCAAGATTTCATTCGTTTTGATCGCCAAGTAATATTCCATTATTTTACTATCACTCTTAAACCTAGAATTCCACTATCACATATTCTTCACCTCCTTTAAAATTTTAAAGATTTTGAAAAAAAAATATTAAAAAAAAAAAAAGGGATGGCACCTGGGTGGCTCAGTTGGTTAAGCATCTGGCTTTGGCTTAGGTCATGATCTTGTTGGTTCACGAGTTTGAGCCCCACATTGGGCTCTGTGCTCACAGCTCAGAGCCTGGAGCCTGTTCCATATTCTGTGTCTCCCTCTCTCTCTGCCCCTCCCCCACTCACACTCTGTCTCTCTCTCTCTCAAAAATCAATAAACATTAAAAAATATATTAAGGATTTTGTATCATCCAAAGTCCTGATTGAAAATGCAGCTAGCTCTCAAAGAGGTATGATCTCAAAGCACTTTAGTTAATACTTTATCAGTAAAAGGGACTTTATTAATAAATGCATGGAGGACATTAGTGCTGGCACATGGATCTCCACATTGAGTGAATGGGAATGAAGGAAGAAAAGGAAACATTTACAGAATATTCTCTGGGGCTATGTAAAAGGCCTTCTGCGTATTTTGCCTTTCTTTATCTTCACAACAGCTCTGCTAGATTATTGCAGATGATCGTGCAGGATCCTGCAGCAAGTAAGTGATTAAGCCAGAATTCACTGCCCATGTTACTTTATGCAGATTTGACTAAGGCTTCAGACTTACATCTTACTGTGAGCCAATCATATCAAGCACTCCACTAAACGAGTCCACATACATATGCTTAAATTGCACTGGGTTGTTTACCACCTAATTAAGTTGTCTCCAGATGGAAGAACAGATAAAAGTTTAACATGAAAACGACTTATGTTTATTCATGTAGGCAAATCCAAGGGGAGGAAAATCTTTGTGAAGGGAATATCTCAGAAAAAGACATCTATAGCCTTTTTGCTCTGGAAAAATGATGAGGTAAATGGGGTCTTGCCATCCCCCATTCTTTTCTTCAATGCCTAATACTTCCTAGTGTGCTGGCATTCTCAATGTATTTATTTATAAACTCTCTTTCACTGATAAAATGTTAACTGAAGTGTATTAGGGTCAGACCTCTTTCAGAACCAGGTACATTTTTAATCAGGACTTTGGATAACACCAAGTCTTTAAAACTGCGAAGGAGGTGCAGAATATGTAATGGTGAAATTCTAGGTGTTAAGAGTGATAATAAGGGAGAAATCTGGGGACAGGGCATTGTCCCAGACCTTTAAAAAGATACCATATATTCTGCCTTTCCGTCAGCTCAGAGAATATGATGATTTTTCATCCATTTTTTTATGGTTTGTGAACTGTCTCAAAATCATAGCTCTGTGTTATCAAAAATCCAGTTTTCTTTTACCACCATATGTAGCATTGGTTAAAAAGATATTTATTTTTGTAAATTTTTAAAAATGTTTTTATTTATTTTTGAGAGAGAGAAAGAGACTGAGCGTGAGTGGGGGAGGGGCAGAGAGAGAGAGAGAGAGGGAGACACAGAATCCAAAGCAAGCTCCAGGCTCTGAGCTGTCAGCAGGCTCTAACTCATGAACCACGAGATCATGACCTGAACCAAAGTCAGACACCCAACTGACTGAGCCACCCAGGCGCCCCCACAGGAAGATATTCATTAAAAAAAAAAAAAAAAAAAAAAAAGTTTATTTATTTACTTTTGTGAGAGAGAAAGAAGAGGACAGAGAGAGAGAGAGAGAGAGAGAGAGAGAGAAAATCCGAAGCTGACTCCACACTGTCAACGCAGAGCCTGATACAGGGCTGAAACCTACAAACTGTGAGATCAGGACCTGAGCTGAAACCAAGAGTCAGACGCTTAAGCGACTGAGCCACCCAGGCACCCCAAGATATCCATTTTTTAAAAGTTTAATTATATGTTGTTTTCATCTGTACTCAGGTTCAAAAGAGAACAGAACATTTTCTCCTAGGTAACTAACAACTATGTATTTTTGGTTATAGGTTTTTTCCTAATGTGAAATATTCAGGTCTTTCATTTGTCCTGCATTCATATGAGCCTTTTGCTACGTGCTGGGAAATAGTTCATTCTCAATTTCCAAGAGCTCTCGCCTCTCTCTCCACCTTCCTCTTACCCCAGGCTTCACCCGAAGCTTCCAGATAAACAGGCACTCTATGCCTTTGGTTTTTTTCAAATCTCCTTTTCCTACCCAATGTTGTATTTTGCTGGCAGCAAATACTATAAAAACTCTTTTGTAGCTAGTTCAGAAATTTGAAACACTAAACCATACTTCTTTTAGTTCTTAAAAAAAAAAAAAAAAAAAAAGACTAGCACCATGCACGTTCCTTTAGAATACAAGGAAAACCATAGGGAAGGATAACTGGGTAAGTGGGCATAGAGTAAGGTCCATGAAAAGTCATAACAAGACAATGACACTGTGATAAGACAAGTCCTTAATGCACAAGAAAAAGTTGGTTGGCAAGTTTACCAGAATTCTGGAAATCCATGAAGCAGCAGCATAAGTGGTTTGCCTCTTTCACCAGTAGCAACATAATGAAATCTTAACCCCGAATCCTGCAGTAGAAAATAGAGGGCATGGAATTTTAGTGATATCTTGTGTTGATTGTCAAAGTGCATTTAGTATTTCCATTTCATTAAAGAAAAAACTTGCATTATTTTTAACATCAAGAAGTAAAATAAATATTATTGAATTTCAAAAAGGAAAAAAGTCCCATGGTTTATTAATAGGGCAAATTAGATTTACTTTTCTAAACATTGCTCTTTGTAGTACCTTCCCTCTTCCCGTCTTGTTCTCCTTACAAGGTCAATTTGTATGTTATAAGCTTCTGGAACAGTGTCACAATTTGTGACTTTCATCTTACTGATGTGTCACATTCCATCTCATTCAAATTCTGCAGGACATGTAAATAATTCTGATCTGAATTTATATTCCTGCCGTGTTTACCTCCTAGTCATGTACTTTTCTCAGCTTGCCCGTCAAGAGCTGTGCCATCAGTTATATAATTCACACCTCCTTCCCTTATTTTTAGTTCTCTCCTTCCCACATTATTATTTTAAGTTGAGAGTTGTATGTACCGTTCCCCTTGCCTCCTGCTCCTCATGTCATGTCAATGTATTTCTAACAGCAGGATGCTCTGAGTGCTCAAGACTTTTCTCTGCATGCGGGAGACAAGACTGCCCAAGGAAAATGAAAAGCATAGGGGTGCGACAGGAATACAGCAAATATAAGGCAAGCTGAAAAGAGGAAAATGGAGAAAAACGCAGGAAAAGAAAACAAAAACTCAGAAAGAAGTGAAGAAAGAAACCAAGAACCAAAAGCTGAGCCCAGAGACTAGGTGTTATATCAGGTAACCCAAGCAAAGGGGTTTTCAGATGTGAAGAAATCTTAAAAGGTCAATTATTTCAGCCCCATCATTTTGACAGGTTAGGAAACCGAAGTTCAAAGATGTGAACATGGGTCATAAAGGTGGTTGGGAGCAGGGCTGTGAGCAGAACCCCATTTTCTTCTACCTTGCAGGACAATGTTCTTTTCCACTCCATGGTTCTGTCTCTGGGGCAACTCTTTAGGGTGGCCAGAGTCAGGGGAAAAGCATTATGAGGAATTCCAGATGATTCTTTCTCACTGCTTTTCTTCCTCAGATAACAAACCTGACTTTACCCTCAATTGCAAAATGCCTTTCTAGAAGTTCAATGACTTCTGTTATTGGTGATGAATCTTGGCCACTTGATTGGATTTAGTGAACAAATACTTTATTGCACTTACCATGTACTAGGCGCTGTTCTAAGTTTTTGTTTATTTGTTGTCTTTTAAAGTTTTTTCCCCCCATATATTAATTCCTTTTATTCTCATATCAACCCCAGGCTGAATAAGGGTAAGAAAAATGTGCCCGTGGTCTTGTGAACTCTAGCTGCTGGACACTCTAGCTCCTATTAGGAATCCTCCACTTGGTGACATAAATATCCCCTCATGTGAAGCTAGTTTTGAAAGTCTTGTGAGTCAGACTGCAGGGTGCATCATGAAAAGCTGTATCTCTTCACCACCTGGAGCCTCAGGAAATGGAATATCCATGGGCTGCCAGGAGGCTTGGGACAAGCATGAACAGTTCCAGTCTGAATGCATGGTTGACATTTGCTTTTTATTCCACTCCTTTGGTCTCTGACTTCATAAGTCTGCTTTCTTGCCCACAAACATATACCATTTGTTTATTGTTTCACACTGGTTAGGTCATCTGTGAACGCTCCATTCCGCTACTCTGAATAAAAGTCCTATTTCCAATGACTTACTCTATTTACTCTTTCAATCTCTAAAATTTGGACAAAGACAGCCTCATGAGACAGTAGGGCGCCTAGGAACAATCCCCTACAGCTGATCTGAGTTCTAAAGGGCAAAAAGGTGACACGAGACAGCTTTCCCTTACAGGGAGCAGAATTATTCTGGGTTGCTGTGGTGGAGCAGGAAGGGACAGTAATATATATAGGACCCTGATGAGAGACCCTCCACATAACCTATTCTCAGTTCCTCTCTCTCTCTCCCTCTCACTCCCTCCCCCCCCCCCCCCCCCCCCCCCCCCCCCCCCCCCCCCCCCCCCCCCCCCCCCCCCCGCGCGCGCGCGCGCGCGCGCGCCCGACCCCAGTCCCGCCACACCTCGCCCCGCTTGCTTCCCCTTGGTATCTTCCCTGTCTCCGCCGCGCGCTCTGGCGAGACCCAGGAACCCTAAGGGACGCTGGGCGTCATGGAAGGAGCAGCCCCGCGCGCTCTGCTCTCGCGGCGGTCACGTTCCCTCCCGATACCGCCGGGCCGCGCCGGCCTTCACCTTGATCCGCACGTAGCAGTGGGTACCCAAAGAGGGGTCGTTCAAACACGCGGGAGGGTGTTCCCGGGCGACCCTCCGGAAGGTCTGAGCGGGTCCCTTGCCGATGCTCCACAAAAGTTTGAGCAGGTAGATGGAGGCGCAGAGCCCGCAGTAGCAGTAGACCAGGGACCAGAAGAGCAGGGACCGGATCGTGACCGTCAGGCGGAGCAGGCAGTCCCGCAGCCTCGCCATCGGGTGGGGCCGGCGGCGGGGCCCGCTGCCCTTCCGAGGCGCAGGAGCGGCGGCGCTCACTCGGGCTGCGGAGCGAGACAGCCGGCGCGGCGGCGCGCCTCCCTGCGGGGCCCCGTGGTGGCTGCGCTCGGCCGGCGTCCCGTGGCCCGGCCGCGGGCTTCCGCGCTCACTGTGCGCGCTCGGGGCCGCTGCGCCCTGCCCGGGAGCACCGCGGGTCAGACCCCCTGCCCTGCGGGTTCCACCCGGGACTGGGCGAGGGCAGAGCCCGGCCTTCCTCCGCAGAGTGAGACCCCGGTTCGAAATTGCCAAACTGTGGGGAACATGAAGGTGAGACTTTCCCAAATCTCCGCTCTTACTTTGACCCGTGTTCAAGTCCTCTCATTGCCTGCTTAACTGCTGGAATTTCGTTAGGCCTTTTTCTGGATCAGAGAATTGTGGGGACGCGCGGCCAAGAGAGGCAGTGAACGATTTTCATACTATATGACAGACGTTATTACTTTATTCATTCCTAACACTCTTCTGAAGGTGTTGATATTCTCCAACAAGGTTGAGAGTGGTTATCAGCCCAGCTAGGCCTCGCCGGTTCCAACGGCACGCCTCTGGAAACCCCTGGTCTGTTTTCCATCCCTGTAAGTTTTCCTTTGCAAGACTATTATATAAGTGCAATCATGAACTATGTAACTTTTTGTCTTTGGCTCCTTTTACCCAGCATAATGCATCTGAGATGCAACTACGCGGCTCCATATATTGTTTCTTTGTTATTGCTTGCTAGTGTTTCATTGAATGGATGTGCCATATTGTTTATCCATTACCCAGTTAAAGGACATTTGAGTTGTTTTCCAGTTTTGTGGTTAGAAATAAAGCCACTGTAAACACTCGTGTGAAGTTTTTTGGGTGAACTTAAGTTTTTCTTTCACGTGGGTGAGTACTTAGAAGTGGGACTTCTGGGTCAGGTAAAACGTGCATTTAACTTCATGAGAAACTGCCAAACTGGCTTCCAAACTGTACAACTTTGAATTCATACCAGCTATGGGTGGGAGTTATGGCTTGGTTATATTCTTGCAAGGAATTGGTATTGTAAAAAAAAAAAAATATTTTCAATTGTTGCAATTCCAGGAAGTGTGTAGCATCTCATTGAAATTTTATTTTACATTTCCCTAGTGACTAATAATGTGTAGGGATCTTTATGTACTTGTGTGCCACTCGAATATATTCTTCTTTGACAACGTGTCTGTTAAAATCTTTTACTCGTTTTTAAAAGATTGTGTTGTTTGTTTTCTTACTATCAAGTTCACGATTTGTCTATATACTTTGGATACAAATCCTTTATCACACATCATGCGATTTGCAAATATTTTCCCAGACTGTCTATGCCTTTTCAGTCTTATAACGGAGACTTTTGAAGAGCACAATTTAATTTGTATTTTAAATTTTTATTTATGTATTTATTCTTTTAAAGTAGGATCCACACCCAATGTGGGGTTCAAACTCATGACCCTGATATCAAGAGTGGTACACTCCACTGACTGAGTCAGCCAGGTGCCGCCCAAAATTTCTTAATTTTGATGCCATCCAATTTATCACTTTTTGTCTTTTATAGATGGTACTTTTGGTCTTGTATGTAAGAAATCTTTGCATAACTCATGGTTAACAGGATTACTTTCTCCTATGTTTTCTTCTAGAAGTTTTATGGCTTTATATTTTATATTTAGGTCTATGAATAAGTTTTTTCCAAAACTTTTTACTGTTTATGTAAACATTTTTAATTGCACTATAGTTAACATATGGTGTTCTATTAGTTTCAGGTGAATTCACCTGACAAATGCACTAATTCACCTGAAACTAATAGTGATTCAACAACTCTCTACATTACTCAGGGCTCACCATGATAAGTGTTCTCTTAATCCTCTTCACCTGTTTCACCCATTCCACCCCCCCCCCTCTTCTCTGCTAATCATCAGTTTGCTTTCTATAATTAAGAGTCTGGTTTTTTTTTATATATCTCCTTTTTTATTCATTTGTTTTGTTTCTTACATTCCACATGAGTGAATTCATATGTTATGAATTCAAAAAAAATTTGAATTTGTCTTTCTCTGATTGACTTATTTTGCTTAACATTATACCCTCTAGATCCATCCATATTGTTGCAAATGGCAAGATGTCATTATTTCTTATGGCTGAGTAATATTCCTGTGAGAGAGAGAGAGAGAGAGAGAGAGAGAGAGATGTCAGTTTTATCCATTCATCTATGGATGGATACTTGGGCTGTTTCCATAATTTGGCTGTTATAAATAATGTAATAATGCAGAGGTGCCTATATCTTTTTGAATTGGTGTTATTGTACTCTGGGTAAATACCCATTAGTGGAATTACTGGATCATATGGTAATTCTGTTTTTAATTTTTTTTTTTTTGAGGAACCAGGTTTATGATCCATTTTGAGTTAATTTTTGTATAGGGTACAAAGTATGGATTGACATTTATGTGTTGCATGTGGATGTATAATTGTTTTGGTACGATTTTTTGAAAAGAGTGTTCTTCCTCTACTGAATTGCCTTTGTGCCTTTGTTGAAAATCACTTGATGTGCAGGACTATTTCTAAGCTGCTAGTCTGTTTCATTGAGCTGTGTGTCTGTATTTTCTCCAATACCACACTTGTGACTACTTTTGAAAGTAGTACAGTAAGTCTAGAATTCAGATGAGTCCTTAAACTTTGTTCTTCTTTATAAAAATTGTTTTTGGGGGTGCCTGGATGGCTCAGTCAGTTAAGCCTCCAACTCTTGATTTCAGCTCAGGTCATGATCTCGTGGTTGTGGGATTGAGCCCTGCAATGGACTCCACACTGAGCGTGGGGCCTGCTTAGGATATTCACTCATTCTCTTTTTCTGTCTCTCTCTCAAAATAAATAAATAAACATTGGGAAATAAATAAAAATTGTTTTGGCTACTCTTAAGTTACTTAACCTTTTCCAAAAATTGTTTTTTAGTATTTACTATTTTTAGGCAAAAATTGTTAATTGAAATGCATTGTATCTATTGATTTTGGAGAAAAGTGATATTTTAACAATATTATGTTATTCAGTCCATAAACATGACATCACTCCATTTATTTAGATCTTTGATTTCTTTCATTAGTTTTTTTATCACTTAAAACATGCAAATATTGCATATATTTTGCAAGATTTATACCTTAGTATTTCTTTTTTTATATTATTGTAAATGCTACTTTTTTCAATTTCCAGTTGCTTATTAATAGATTTTTGGTTTTTGTCTTGGATCCTGAGACCTTGCTGCACTCACTTATTAGTTCTAGTAGCTTTTTGAAAGACTGGGATTTTTTATGTAGATAACCATGTCATCTGTGAATAGAAACAGTTTTATTTCTTCTTTTCCTGTATGTTCGCCTATTATTTCTTTTTCTTGCCATATTGCACTGGCTAGGACGTCCAGTACAATAATGAGCAGGAGTGGCGAGAACGGACATCTTTACCTTATTCCTGATCTTAGGGTGCAGAAAGCATTCAGTCTTTCACTGTCAAACATTGTATTAGCTAAATATTTAATTAGATGCCATTTATCATGTTGAGGAAGTTCTTTTCTGTTTCTGGTTTTGGAGAGGTTTTTTTGTTTTGCTTTCTTTTGTTTTTCATAAATTGAGGTAAAATTTTGTCAAAGGCTTTTGCTTCTCGAGATAATCATAGTTTTTCCTCTTTAATATTTTTGAATTGGTTAATTACATATAAAGTTTTTTAATGTTGAACCAACCTTTCATTCCCAGATTAAACCCTACTTGATCATGAAATATATATTTTTTGTAACTTGTTGAAATCAACTTAATACTTGGTTGATGATTTTTACATCTATATTTCTTATCTATTTTCTTATATATTCTGGAAGAATTTATATAAAATTAGTATTATTTCTTCCTTAAATGTTTGGTAGAATTATCCAAAAAAACCACCTAGGCCTTGAGTTGTTTTTTTAATTCTTTTTTCTCAAAGATTTTAAAATACAATTTATTTATTTATTTAAAATATACTTCAAGGGCGCCTGGGTGGCTCAGTCGGTTAAGCGTCTGACTTCAGCTCAGGTCACGATCTCACGATCCGGGAGTTCGAGCCCCACGTCGGGCTCTGGGCTGATGGCTCAGAGCCTGGAGCCTGCTTCCGATTCTGTGTCTCCCTCTCTCTCTGCCCCTCCCCCGTTCATGCTCTTCTCTCTCTGTCTCAAAAATAAATAAACATTAAAAAAAATTAAAAAATAAAATAAAATATACTTCAATATGTTTAATAGTTATAGAACTATTCAGTGATCTGTTTCTTCTTTGCTATTTTGTCTCAAGAATTTTATCCATTTCATGTAAGTTGTTGAATTTATGGCCATAGCGCTCTTCATGCCCTTATTATCTATTGAATGTCTGTGGATTTGTGATGTCCTCCCTTTTACACTTGGCATTCATAATTTGTGTCTTTTGTTTTTCTTGGTAAGTCTGGTTAGAGGCTTATTTTATTATCTTTTTAGATAAGAAAGAGCTTTTGGTTTTATTTTCCTTTTTTTTTTTTTTTGCTATTAATTTCACTGATTTCTGCTCTAATTTCCTTTCTTCTGCTACATTTAGGTTTAGTTTGCTTTTCTCTTTTTAGTTTCTTAAGATAGAAGCGTAAATGATTGATTTGAAATCTGTTATGTTTTAATGTAAGCATTTAACGCAAAAAAAAATTTCCTCTTAGTGCTTCCACTGCGTTCCATAAATTTGAATATGTTGTGTTTTCATTTTTATAAAATTCAAAGTATTTTCTAATTCTTCATGTGATTACCCTTTTTACAATGTGTTACTTAGAAATGCTTAATTGCCAGGTATTTGAGGGGATTTTGCGGATATATTTTTTGTTGTTAATTTCTAGTTTCAATCCAGTATTGTCCAAAGACCTGACCTTGGAAACTATCTATTCTCTTAAATTTGTCAAAGTTTGCTTTATGTCTCCGAATATGGTCTACTTTGGTGAATGTTCCAACTGCATATGAAAAGTTGTTGTTACCTGGAGTGTGGTATACATGTTAATTAGGTAAATTGGTTGGCAATGCTGT